TTCAAACTGCTGACCTTTTGGTTAGCAGCCGTAGCTCTTAACCACTGCGTCACCAGGGCTCCATATTGCATATAGTCCTTAGAATAAAACAAGCTAAAACGTAGTAGGGGTGAACTAAAAGCAGCTCTCTTAATGGAGATGTTTGGTTATAGAGAATGTGACATACACTCAGGTACCTTGAGACCCAACAATTTCAGTGCCCAGAGAACTCTGAGGGTAGACCTGCTGATAGCTGGGAAAAGTCACAAGGAATACTTCAAATCTCTTCCTCCAGCCTTTTGTCTTTATTATTTCTTAAAATTTATTTTTTGAAGAGGCAATCCGTATAATTCAAAAGCTACAAAAGAGTATGAAGTCTCCCTTTTCTCCAGTTACCTAGTTCCTTTCCCCAGAGACAACCAAAGTTATCAGAGTCTTGTGTATTTTTCCAGGGATAACTGGTGTATATACAGACAAATATGGATAATACTATTTTAATTCCACCACTGAAATCCTGGAAAATGACAGAAGGAATTTTGTAAAAGCAGGAATCCCCCTTTTAAAAAAATCCAAATCAGTTAAGTATTCCTCATGACAGAATGCTTTTCCTTCTTCCAATTGATATTTGTTCAGTCCCTACTATGTACCAGGCACTGAAGGTACAGTGATGAATAAGACATAGGACACCTGTGCCCTTACAGAGCTTAAGAATCTAAACAATACTTACCATATTTTTTTTGCACATAATGTGCCCACACATATAATGCCAGCATAGCATTCTTAAAAAAAATATTGGGTTGCACAGTTGGCCAAAAAAAAAGTATAACGCGCACAGTAGAATGTGCACATTATTCGCGTAAACATACAGTAATAAAAAATGTGGTAAGTGCTATGAAAAAACTTGAGACTGAGAAATCAGAGGGTTTAACTTAGTGTGGCGGATTAGGGAAAATGTCCCCAAGGAAGTGATGTGTAAACAGAGACAATGACAAGTTCGCTGGGCAAAGGAGGGCAGAATGGAGTATTCCAGGCAGGGATGTAAGATGACTGCTTCTCTGAGCCTCTGTGACCTCAAGATATCAGCTTTATACTTCATCTTCTTGAAATACCAAGTGATAAAAGGACTGAACCTTGAAACGTTATGCCAAGTCAAAGAAGTCAGACACAAAAGGTCATAAACTATATGATTCTATTTACATGAAATGTCCAGAACTGGCAAATCTATAGAGACATAAAGTAGATCAGTGGTTGCCAGGGAGTGGGGAGTGACAGCTAATGGGTTTGTAGTTTCTCTTTAGTTTAGTGTGACGAAAATGTTCTAAAATTGAGTGTGATGATAGTTGGACAGCTCAGAATATACTAGAAACCACTGTACACTTTAACTGGGTGAACTGTATGTTACACGAAGTATATCTTAAACCTGTAAAGAAAAAGAGAAGACCAACATGCACAATCTTTCCTAGCTAGTCACTGTTCTTACCTCTCCATGTTTTTAAAAATATTGCATTTATCATCTCGAATGGTCAGCTGGAAGCCTAGGGCTGCATGGTGGCTCTCCAGGACAGCAGTGTCATTGTACAAAATGGCCAGCTCACTTCCGGCATTACACAAGAAAGAGTTGGTTCTCCCAGGGTGATCCACGTCATGAATGGTGGCTGCAAGGAGGGCAGCAACCTCGTCAACTGGATCTAAAGTTTGCTGAAAACAAGAGATCTTTTCAAAGTGAGGTATGGCTTTGGAGGCAAGAAAGCCCTCTGGACAGTTTTCTTTCTGCCCTGTTACTTTACAGTAAAAGATTTCTGGGAAAAGCATACTGTGTGAACAAATCCTGTTTTCCTATCCTCATTCTGAAAGTTATATCTTTGCATATGTTTATCAGAGAACATGATCTAATTTTCAGAGTCACACCCAAGTTAATGACTTAGCAAAACACAGGGTGTCCTCAACCAAATAAGTCACCTCCTTAGTCAATCTTTCTCTAGACCCATCACAAAGAAAAGTCTGAGATGCTGGACCAGCATACACTAATATTACTCAGTCAAGACTGAATAAAAGAGAAATAATTTTTGAACTATGCATCACATAAGTTGAGGACTGGTCTAGTTTTCTCCTCCCTTTTGGTGCCATCTTTGTCAGGCTGGTGTCAGGGCTTTGTGAATCTAAACTCTGTGCATTTGGTAAAATGATCTTTAAGTTTTCCATCTTTTTTAAGGCTCTGAAAAAGTTTACGTAGCATGGAAAAATTCCTTAGAGGTCTAAAGAACTCACCTATCCATCTGGGTCAGGAGCCAGGTTATGAAGAAATTAGTTGAGAGTTAAAAAAAAAAAAGAAAAGTTTTAAATAGAATGGATGCAAGAAGTACAAAACCAAGAGATCAATACCATGAAGTAGTTTTTAAAGAAAACCATCTAAGACTTCATTGAGCACAGATATATGTACAGTGCTTTCTTCTATCCTTTTCCATTTCAAATTTGTCTATTTCCTGATTAGTTCTTGATTAGTTTTGCTAGAACTTTATCGATTTTCTTGGTTATTTCAGAGAACCGTTTGTTTTCCCTTTAAGTAATGACAGCACTAAAACTATGTTGGTTGCCATCGAGTTGGCTCCGACTCATGGTGACCCCAAGTGCAACAGAACAAAATGTTGCCCGGTCCTGCGCCATCTCCCCAATCGTTGACATGCTCAAGCCCGTTGCTGTGGCCACTGTATATTTTGAGTGCCTTCCAACCAAGGGGGCTCATCTTCTAGCACTATACTGGACAATATTCTGTTGTGATCCACAGGGTTTTCATCAGCTAGTTTTTGGAAGTAGATCACCAGGCCCTTCTTCCTAGTCTGTCTTAGTCTGGAGGCTCCACTGAAACCTGTCCACCATGAGTGACCCTACTGGTATTTGAAATACCAGTAGCATAGGTTCCAGCAGTATAGCAACACGCAAGCCACCACCGTATGACAAACTGACAGACGGGTGGTGGAAAACTATGAATATGCACCTTTAAATATACCTTTAGCTTCATTCTAAAAGTTCTGATAGATGGGTGTTTGATTTTTTGTTATTTTCTAAATAATCTTTCACTTGGGGTTTTTTCCAACGATCATGAAGATGGTGCAGAACCAGGCAACATTTCATTCTGTTATACATGGGATCGCCATGCGTTGGAGCCGACTTGATGGCAACTAATAACAACATCCTTGTTAATCCCAAAATTATTTAGAATATTTTCTCATTTCTAAGTGGTTAACTTTTTTTATTTAACCTTTACTTATTAAATTCTAGTTTTGATTTGTTGTTAGAAAATATGAAGTTTTGAAGTGTATCAAGGCATTCAATGTGGTCTAGTGTAAGATCATCTTTGGAAGTGTTCTATCAACACTTGAAAAGAAAGTATCTAATAAAGCAGCCTTGTAAATTTATTTAAACCAAAATTCAATAGTTTTAACTTTAATGAATAAATTATATGATATTATATGATTTGATGGTTTTAAGTTAGCTTTCTGAATACATATTTGTCCATTTATTTAAAGAGTAGGTCAAAAGCAATATCTTATAGAAAAATTGGATTGTCTGTATATGCTAAGCCATGCTGACACAGACATCCCTCTCTACCAATTTTTTTCACTATTTAGACTCTCCAGGCTTGGTCATTATCTTTCTTTAAGAAAAATAAAATACTAAGAAAAATAAAATACTAGAGGGAGGAGGGAAAGGGACTGAAAGACACAGCTCTGAGAAGGTTTGACCCCGGGGTGAGGAATTAACAGCTACTCAATAACGACACTGTGCTAGCTGTAGTTATATCACTTTGTTCTCTTCATTAGTCCCATCCTGCCAAGGGGGAAATGCAACCAGGAGGCACTTGTCCTGGCCACTATATGGCCTGCACCAGGACATCAGTAATGGTGCCTTGCTGTCTCATTCGTCATAAGGCCCTGTTTTCTTAGAAACAAAACCAGCAGTTTGGTTCTTATGCCCTCAAGTATTTCTAAAATCAAAATGGTTATGCCACTAGAGATTCCTGGGCCCTTATGAAGGATCTTGGAAAAAAAAACAACAACATAAATACTCTGGCAAATCAGTGCAAGTCTACTTGTTGCTTTGAGAAGTTCCCTACTGAAATAATTCACAGTATCAGCTTGGTTTAGGAATGGGCAGTGAGTACTGTCTATTGTATGGAACCTTTCTTCTGCAAGGCTTACTATGAAGGGACCAGACAGCCCTCTTCCAATGTACCAACTCACATGAGTGGGACAGGGACGGAAGACATACAGTGAAAAGGGAGCCTGCTGTCCAAATGGAATGGAAAGACCAGTAGCTAGGCATTCTAATACAGCAGCAAAGTCAGCAGCATGGAGAAGAGGCCCCTAAGTTGGGGGTGGAGGGTAGAGTCCAGGGAATGCTTCCTAGAGAAGTGGGTGCTGATATGGATCCCTGAAGGACACGTCATGATATGGGGCAGCATGTGAAGGGTTTGGCATGGCCCAGTTGTGGCCTGCATGTCTAGGGCACAAGGCACGGAGGGATGACAGGAGCTGGAGTCTATACAGAGAGCCTTGAATACTCATCCTGTGGAGTTTTAAACTTTAAATTCTGCAGAAGATGGGAAGCTGCTCCTGAGAGTGACATGGTCAGATCTGCCATTTCAGAAAGATCATGTTGGCAGCAGTGTGAATGGGTTCCACAGGAGGCAGGTCAGGTCTTTGGAACTGTCTAGATGGGACCCTCACTGGGACAGCAGTAGGGCCACTAGGAGGAGGAGGAGATGAATCTGAGAACATTAAAGTGTTATAATAGGCGAGGTTAGATATCAACCAGATGCTGGGGGATTGAGGAGAGAAGAACTGAGGATGACTCTGGATTTGTGGTTTGGGTATCTGCTTGGATGGTGGGACCTTGATCCAGATAAGCAACTCTGGATGGGAGCAGTGCTGGGGCAATAACTTTGGTCTCAGATGCCCACTGACTTTTGGGGGCCCTTAAGCGGCAATATCTAAGTTGGCTATACTAGCCTGTAGGTTCAGAGTGAGACCCAGAAGAACAGCCGCGTCCCATAGCCCTTCCCTGTTCTTGCTGGCTTTCTCCCCAGGGACCCAATCCTGCTTCTTGTAATCCCACGGCATGGCTGAGGTCCTGTCAGGAACGAAAATACCAATTCCCCAGAGCCACACTGTAGCTCCTGCCTGACATGATGTGGCCATACCCTTCGCGTGCCAGGCTACACAAGAGTAGGGACCACTACTGAGCAGTCACACCTCGTACCACCTTGGCAGGGATGAAGCAAGAGACTCTCCTCCCTGTTCCTACCTGTTAGACATGGAGCACAAACACCAGCTCACCTTTATCCTCTCTTTGGACAGAAAATAGGCCGTCGCGTGCAGCACATCAGCGGCATGTGTAGAATTGTGGTAGGGGTTAGAAGAATGATAATTGGTTTCGATAATTTGTAACCACGATCTGAGCGTTGACTCAGAGCAGTTTAAGAATTCACAGATTCCAAAGCGAGCAAATATTTTGAGACCGAGATAAATCAAAGGCCTACAGAGAAAAAAACAACCATAGCATTAAAACAAAGCAAGGAAACAGGCAAAGTGTTTTGAGCCTTCAAGAGGCTCAGATTCAAGGAGCCAATCCGAGCTGTGTTTCAGGTGCAAGGGCAGGCAAGTGGAGGCTGCCCAGCATCTGCTGTTCTTTCTCCCCTTAGCCAATGCCAACCCTTGTGGGGCCTAGCTCCTGCCTTCAGGAACCAAGGTGCACTGGGGAGACCTGGATGCCCACAGGGATTCTGGCCTCAGAGCTCACTATGGTGTTCCCCATTGCTGGTGCAAGGTTTCTTCACCCTGCCCTTCCTGAGTCAAGTTCTACTTACACTAGTGGATTCCCCCAAATCAACATTTTACTAGGCTAAACTTGGGCCACCTTGAACCCTAGCCTCTGCTTTGGACTTGCATCACTGGCCAGATGTCCTGCCTAGAAGAAAATATTTCCTGAGGACCAAATATGAGCCAGACACTGTCACAAATCACAAAACTGTCTGACAGTCTGGAGGTATTATAATAGGAGGGAGTTTCTCATGAGAAGGTCACCAAATGGCCACCAAATGAGGTCCTTACTTGAGAAGTCACTTTGGTCTGGCCCTTAGCTTGGAAGGTCAAGAAACTTGGCTCTGTTGAGGCACATCCAGAGGTGATCAGGCTTGTAGGACTTGAACTGACCTGCCTGAACCTGACTCACCTGAGACTAGTATGTAAACCAGGTGCTGAAGGATTCATTTGCCATGGGAGTATTCTTTTTCCCACTGTTAAAGGTAGTCTCATTCGCCTTCTAGGACACCCTGTACCCATGCTGGGGCACATGGGAAGTAGAATGTATCAGAAGGTTGTCTCACAGTGAGCACAAGCAAAAAGTAGGGACTATGTTGGGGACAGTTTTCCCAGACTGGGACAAGACCTGATGGATCATCCCATGACCCAGTAAAGCACGCCTCTCCTGCACTGCCTTTTGTCTGCCAGGTTGAGGCCTCACCACCCTGAAAGACAGTCCTTGCTTTAAGCATCTGGCTCTGTGGAAACCTTTGTGTGCCAAGTCAACCACCCCCATCTGGTTAATAAGTCTTTTGCAGCAAGGCACAAAACTCAAGTTAAAATCCCAATCCCATTCCTACTCTGTGGTCACACTCAGATCAGGGTGACGAGTTTTAGGTGTTCCCATGGCTGTCAGCAATACATGGCAACCAAGACCAGGGGCAGCTCTTACTGAATGTGTGGGAGTGTGTGTTTCTAACAAATTTTAGTTCTAGGCTCTGAGTGGGGGTTCTTTGCAGCTATCTCAGCATATCACCATCTATAGGAGAAATTAATATCCTCATTTTGTGGAAGAAAACTCTGGTATTTGGAGTGGTTAATTCCTTTGCTCAATTTCGCTCTTTGCATGAATCTGCTGTCCCCGACCAGGGACCAGCAGTGCACAGAATCCACACTCCTGGGGTGGGCTCCTCCAGAAAGGCCCTCAGAATCAAGCTCTCCACCTGTCAAGCTCCAGAGGGACTCACCTCTTGTGGGTGGCAGACTCCAGATCAAAAATATCAAAGTCCCAGAATTCCTCATTTTCCATGATTCGAGCTATCCGCGGTGGAATGTCATGAAGGGAGATGGAATTGATTATCCTGTTTGAAACCTGGTGAAGGTCTACAAAGCGATGCAATTTGGAGAACAAAATTAATAGGCTTTGTGAAATTAGCTGTTTCTTAGAACTTCTTACTGGCGAGAACAATTATTTGAAAACGTTTATCTGAAAAGATTATTTTTCATCACTCAATATTATGTATAGTGATCCAAAAAATTAAAAAAGAAATACTTACTCTTTGGTGAAAGAACATAGTCATTCCCTGATAGTCTTCGCAAGCCATCCTGATAAAAAGCAAGGAAACAAGAAAAAGTCACAACTATTCTTTTCTGCTTGAAGGCCTCAGGACAGCTAGTCTCAGAGGATGGCTAAAGGGGTAGCCCTCTCCACCAGTCCACCCAATGGTCCCCTGTGCCCAGCAGGCTCCACCCCTGTGATCATCTCTGTGGGCAACCATTGCACTGAACAGCATTTCCTGAGAACACTGCATGCAGCTTGATGCTGGGAAGGGCTGGCCCTGCTGGAAGGTAAACTCAGGCACAATCAACACAAGGGAGGTAAGCTTGAGAGAGAACCCCAAAGCCCAGAACTCCTGCTTACACCCCATGACTGTTTTGGCTTCTGAGGGACAACTCCCCTCAACTCTTCCTCATAATTTTCTTGCCCCCCCACCCCACCCTGATACCAGGATTCCTTTGGAAACTAGTTCCTTTCCCACCATTTAAGCAGCCTCACTTCTCCTACTCTGGACTCTCTGGATGAGAAGCTGGAGCTACAGGCTCGTCACCACTGCTCCCAGCTCAAGCCTCGTCCCTTAGCAGCCCCTCTTCTTCTCTAGTTCTGCAGACATCCTCTCCTCACCTTGCTTCTCTTATCCACTCACCTCCAGGACACTATTCCATCATTTCCACCCCTCTCTTACAGGCTGGAGAAGCCTGTGTCTCAAATAGGCAAGGTCACAGTTTAGACATTATCAACTCTGGGAACCACTCTACCATCCAAGGTCACTACCTAAAACCCTGTTTTTATGAAATCAAACTACCTCAGAAAACATGAATTGGGAGAGGGGGTGTAGTTTATTTCTGGCAGTGGCATGATCTGTGTTCCACAAAGTTGTTCTTACTGTGTGAGAGCTCTGTACTAGATTGGCTAGAGGAGGCATTCAAGAGCCCGCCAGAGCCCATGATACAAAGCCCCCTTCTGATGAAGCGTTCCCAAGCCCTTCTTTCCTATGTAAGTCACCACAGTCTGGGTAGGATGCTTTGGAGGCAAAACCATGCCTCACCCCCTAGCACCTCTTTAAACACATATGGCAGGAGAAGGATAGTCTCCATTTTGTAATTTGGTATGTAACATTTAATACTACCTCCCCACTCCCTATTTTCAAAATATTTAAATAAATTGCTCATAGAACCCCTAAGCAAAGTTGGAAACTGCCTCAGTATGATGTCTAAAATATACTCCTCCCCAGTGATGTCTCCCTAGGTGATGGATGGGCAACAGGTAGATGACAGCTCTGGCCAGAGAGCATATGAACCTGGGCAATGGAGGAGGTTAGGCCTTGCTGCACCCTACACACGATGGCCAGCTGCCTTTCCAGAGAGCTCTGTTTAAGCCAGCTTACAAACAAATAATCTCTGAGAAAACAAAACAAGAACAGGCAGGCTCTAATCAGCAGTCTGGTCGTATATACTTACACACATTAAGCCCCCCACCAGGTCGTTGGCATGAGGATCATCGTCCTTAGCACCAAATTGTGGTGAATATAATTCAGTGGTTCTTAAAATTTCCAGCACACGGTCTAAGGCTTCTGTCACAGGCATGGGACTGCTTTCTTGGGCAGCATTGATAATATTGATTACCTACAATATGGAGAGAAAAGACTTGAATTTCACAATCTTAAAAACAATGGGAAAGCAATCTGGGAAGCTGGCTTGCAACGGTGTTTAATGCTAATTTAAAACTAGCTCTAATGTTCATGTGACACAGCCTTTCTCTTCAGAGGCGGCAGCACCATACAACTATGAGCATTATTATTAGGGTTGTTGCAGGTCCCTGTTTCTTCTCACTGGAAACAATCAACTGGGAGAATGAGGGACTTCCAGGCTCGATGCAGAGCCACCACAAACTGCTTCACCTTGGTGATGGGTGCATCGATCGTCATGGAATGTATCCGGGCCAAGGAGGAGTGTCGTCTCTGGCTGGCAACTGTGGAGAAAGGGATGCAGAAATCGGGGTGTGCACAACGTCGGGTGCCTGCCTTGCTGGCCAAGGGCTCCATGACCGCCCTTCCTGCCCTGGCCTCAGTGTGCTCAGCTGCATAACAAGCATCCTTTCCATCCTGGCAAGCCTCAAGGTCTGGCGTAACCAGCTCTCCTTCTTTTGGTTCTAGGATGCACATGTCCCCATAGACAGAGCTTATGATATCACAGGCCAGAGAGAAAACAGGGCAAACAATCTAGCAAGTCAAGGCCAAACAGTTAGCCTCTTTTTGTTTGTATAACACTAAGGCTTTATAATTTATCCAACTAGCCGCTATCCAAGACAGGAATAAAAATGTTCTGGAAGAGAATACCACACAGGTCCTTTGTTTCATGGATGGAAGGAGCAATAAATACAACTCATCATTGGCTGAAACTCATGAATTTCTGGTTAAAATTTTCAAGGTATCTTTTGGTGCTTTCCACTATTAGGTTTTAAGGAAAATACCTTCAATGAGGCAGGCAGCAATACTTAGGATCTAAAATTTGTTAATTTTTGTTGCTCCTGACAAGATACGGTTCCTTTAGGGGTGTGGGGGAAAGCCTGAGCAATGTACAGGCAGGAAAAAAAATCACACAGAGTTCTGTGTCTCACCATGAAAGCCCCACTGTCAGGCTAATGCTGTTTACCAAAGACCTCAAAGGACCACAGGCTGTTCCACAGCCCTATGCGTCAGCCTCATTTTACAAATGAAGAGACTGAGGCCCAAGGAGAGACACTGTCCAAGGCTAACCAACTGAGGGGCTCTAAAATGCTTTAAATTTCGGGAACCAACAAAACTTCTTAAATCTAATTTTGGTGACCAGCATAGAGCTGCTAACTTTTCATTTTTCCCAATGAAGTCATTAAGCCAAAAATAAAAAACTACTATTTTATCACTCTGTCAAATAAGAGGACTTGTTTTCATTTCTAATATAATGGAAGTGACATGTTTATAAAAATCAAGCAATAGTGTAGATGTAATAAAGAAAAAGAAATAAAAGGTATAAAGATTGTCATGACTGTGTATGCAGAAAGGTCTAAAAGAATCTAGAAACACATTCCTCTTACAATCAATGAGTAAGTTTATCAAGGCTACTGGGGGACATGGTCAATTTACAAAACTCAATTAATTGGCCATTGAAATAAAAAAATACCATTACAATAGCATCAAAAAAATCTAGAGGAATAAATATAAGATGTTCAAGATTTCTGCACTGAAAATGCAAAAACATTGCTGAGAGAAAATAAAGAAGACCTAAACAAACGGAGACTACAGCATGTTCAGTTTGGAAGACTCAGTGTTACTGAGACTTCAGTTTTCCCCAGGTTGATCTATAGGTTCAAAGGAATCCCAGGCAAGATCCCTGAAGGGTGTGTGTGTATATGTTTTGTGTGTGTAACCTACAAAGTTGATTCTAAACGTTACGTAGAAATGCAAAGGACCTAGAATAGTCAAGATAATCTTGAAGAAGAACTTTACACTATCAGATATCAGGACTTACTGCAATTCGACTCGACAGCAGTGAGTTTTGTTTGCGGGTAGAGCAATCAACAGTGTGGTATTGGTGAAGGCCTAGATGGAACAGAATGGAGTCCAGAAACAGACCAATAGGAGCACCTGATTGATAATAATGGTGCTACTATAAAAGACAGTTTTTTCAACATAATGATGGATCAACTGGATTTTCATAAGGGGAAAATTCATCCTTGACCCCTACCCTTACACCATATATAATTAATTAGAAATGGATCACAGACCTAAAGTGAAAGATAAAAAATAAAGCTTCTAGAAGAAAACATGGAAGAATATCTTCATGACCTTGGGGTAGAGAAGATTTCTTAATCAGGACACGAAAAGCACTAACCTTAATAGAAAACTGATAAATTGGACTTAGTTAAAATTAAGAACCTCTGTTCATCAGAAGATACCATTAAGAGAGTGAAAAGTAAAAACAGACTGAGAAAATATATTTTGTGATTCAAATACCCCAGAGAGGACCCACCTCTAGAATACATAAACAATTCCCACAAACCAGTAAGAAAAAGATTAACAACCCAATTGTAAAAATGGGCAAAAGACTTGCACAGCACTTCACAAAAGATAATACCCAAATGGCCAATAACCATATGAAAAGGTGCTCAACCTCATTAGTCATCAGGAAAATTAAAACCATACCCAAGAGAATGGATAAAATGAAAAATACTGGTATTACCAAGTGTAGGAGGAATAACTGGAACTCTCAAATATTAGTAATGGAGAGTAACTTGGTAAAACCCACAGTAGAGAACTGTTTGAAGCTACCCTAAGGCCCAGCAATTCCCGATATAAGATGAACACATATATAACAAAAAAGACTCATAAAAGTGTTCATAGCAGCCTTATTCTTAAGAGTGGAAACAACATGAATGGTCCTCAATAAGAAAATGGATAATTAAATTGTGGTATATTCATACAATGTAGTACTACTTAGTAATAAAAAAATAATGAACTACTGATACATCTAACAACATGGAATGCAAAAACACTACAGTGAGTGAAAGAAGCCAGACACAAAAGACTACATATCGCACAATTCTATTTACATGTAGTACAAGAACAGGCAAAATTAATTTATGGTGATGGAAATTAGGATTGCCTCTGGGTGGTGAAAGAAGTGTGTGTGTAGATTTTCTTTACTTATTTTGGGTGGTGGTTGTATGAGTGTATATAATGGTCAAAACTCATTGAACTGAACACTTAGTATCTGTGAATTTTATGGTATGTAAAGTATAACTCAATTAAAAATAGTGATAAAAGAACAAAAAATTAAAAGAAAAAATTAACTATTAAAAATACTGAAATGTATAAAGTAATCCAAAGGATCAACAGAAGTTACAGTGTGGTGAGCAAAGAGAAGCCTGTTCTAGGCATACATGCACTTAACCACTGCCCTGCACTGCCCAAGGACTGCAAAGGTCTTGCAACCATAACCATGACCACCACAATGAAGATAAGGATGGCAGCTAACACTAACTGAGCACCAACCCTTGCCAGGCACCACACAGACTCATGTAATCCTCTCATGAGCCTCTGTGGACTGCATATTCTGCCCGTTTTCCAGATAAGCAAATGGAAGCCCAGAAGCCTATACCTGAGGTTGCAGAGAGCAGATGAAGCTGGCGTCATCCTGATGCCAAAGCCACATTCTTCCCCCAAACACCACATTGCTTCCTGCTGGTGCCATCCCCACACCTGCCCTCAATACAGGGGTGTAATGTGTATCGTTTTTCCAGTGTGAAGGACATGCAACATCTCATATGATCCTCAAAACAAACCTGAGAGCAACATGAGGGCAGGCATCTGACCACCACTGTATAATCTTAGTTCTATTGCTTTGGAAATTTTTGGCTTTTTAATCACTAACAACAAACTCCATATACTTCAGTATTCATCTTTAGGCCAAAGAACGTACACAGCTAACAGTAATATTTGCCACCACACTTAAAAAAAAAAAACAACCCGTTGCTGTCGAGTTGATTCCGACTCATAGTGACCCTACAAGACAGAGTAGAACTGTCCCATGTGGCTTCCAAGGAGCAGCTGGTGGATTCGAACTGCCTCCACACTAGCTACACAAATTTTTCATTACTTTAAAAAGACTACTATTCAGGCCATGTACCTACATGATCTTTAAAAAAAATTTCTGGTAGTCCCCGACTTACGAAGGGGTTCCGTTCCGCTGACTCCATGCTAAGTTGGTTTTGACGTAAATCGAATACTTTTTTTTAGTTTTCATTATTATTGCCTTTTATTAGTAGTATCTTTATAAAGCCCATCTTTATTTATCTTTGGTGGCTGGAAACATTACATGTAAACATCTGTGAATGAACATCTAAGAATGATAACATCAGCAAATTACGAGCTGCAACATTGTATGTAGTACAAAAACAGACAGTCGTAAGTGCACTATAACTCGAGTATGTCGTAAGTTGGGGACTACCTGTATATTCCAATTAGAATAATATTTGCTTAATGAGTCTTTCATAAACCAAAAATTGGGCTCACACTGCCAAAATGGCAAGCTTCAATGGCACACTGCAACCCACAATGGAATATATCTTTAAGAATTACCAAATGCATTACTGATACAATTAAAGCCGATAAATCGATATCTTCTGCTGTTACAGTTTAGGAAATAAACGAAAGAATAGGTAGTAAAATGTATCTTTCTTTTTCCTTATTTCCTTGTCTCCATTAAAAGACTCAGAATGGAGCCCAATGGCAGGAGTTGGGGGGTACCAGAGGGAGCAGACAAAGGTTTCTAGAGGGTACCGTCCCCTCTTATAAACTGGAGGTGGGCAGTGACCAGAAGACAAGACTGGAGACAGAGGGTCCAGTCTACACGTGATATGAAAACATTTTCTTCGCTTGCCTTTGGCACCTACCTTCACTTGATCGAGTGGAAAGAGATCTGACATCTAGCGAGTCTTTTCTTCTGTCTTTAATAAGCTTGCCTGTCTGTGTATCTGTGGAAACAATTAGAAATCACCTCTTCAAAGGGATTTAAACAACGTATTCGCAAAAGTTACCAATCTATGATTAAAAAAAAAAAAGTAAGAATAGAACACCACTTAAGATGCCACAAAAATCAACACAGTGCACAGAGATGAAGAATATGAACAATGGAGTTTTGAGGGGCTGGCTCTCTCATAATGTTCCACCAGGTGCAACCATAAACAAGTGCTTTACAGTCTCCAGATTATATAATTATGGAGTCCCAAAACATAAAGTAAAAATGCAGAATTGAACTCAGGAGAATTTCTTCTACTACATTTCTATATAACTGAGAAAAATGGTGGATGATTTTTGATCCCCATCTACCCTTGTCCCAAAGAAAAAAGAATAAAATTTTCTCTGTAAAATAAGTTTTAGGACATTTCAGGAAAAAAATGTTCTTCTCTTTTCTAAGGAGGCACAGAGAACATTAGTTTGAAGTGTATTTCAAATGACAGTTTATTTTCTCCCCAAACATGCTCCCCCTTTTCTGTGAATGGTACCACTGCCCTTCTAGGCTCCAAAAAGAAGGCTGTCTCCGACTCCTTCCTACCTCTGACCCCTCACTCCAATCACAAAGTGAGGCTGACCCTCTTTCCTGACCCCTCCTCTCTGCACTTGCTTGTGCCATGTGTGGTGCTGGGTGATTTCCTAGACCACACCTCACAGGAGCCTCTCCAACCTGTGAGATGGGTATCCCTGTCCCCATTTCACAGATGAGAAAACTGAGAGCTACCATGCAGATGAGTGAATGGCAGAGCTACATTTTAGGTCAGGTCTTCCTGTCCACATGTAGTTTGTCTGCTGTATCTTGGCTACCTCACGTGGAACCCCTTCATTCCCTGCTCACAAACAGGATCTGAATGCAGACCCTTAGTACTCCCCTCCCCACCATCAAGTAGGTTCTTCACTTGCTATCTGCTTCTTGACCCATCATAAGCTACATTTTCTTCTACATGGGCACTGGCAGTGAACTTGTCAAGGTCATGGATGACTTCCTTGTTGCTAAACCTGAAGGCCATAGTTCGATTCTTTTGATTTGATTTGATTGTGATACTAGACACAACTGATCATGCTTCCTGGAAACTCTTGGTTTCCATGAGTCCACTCTCTCCTGGTTTTCCTTCTACCTCTCTTACTATTCCTTATAGTTTCCTTCATGAGTTCCTCTTCCTCAGCCACCCATGTATTTCCAAAAGTTCCATCCTTAACCCTTCTTCTCGGTCAACACAACCTTCTTGGGGGGATCTCACTCCTTCCTACAGCTTTAATCAGTCCTTGTGCTACTGTCTAATTCCGGGCCTCTCTCTTGAGCTCCAGGCTTGCATCTTAACTCATCACTTCCATTTGGATACCCCTTAGGCACTTCAAATAAACTCATTATCCCAAACAAACTCATTATTTTCTCCCACATCTGCTCTTCACCCCAAGTCACTGAATAGCACCTACCTTTCTGCTTAAGTTAGAACAAGTTATCCATGACTCCTCGTTCAGCCCTCCTCTCCTTCAACTGGTCATCTAAGTCTATGGATTTTACCTCCTCAGTACCTCTTCTGTCACCTGCTCTGTCCCTATCTTAGACACACTCATCCTCTTCCTGTGGATTATAGCAACAGCCTGCCACGTTGGTCCCACAGCCCCTGACATAGCCCCCTTCAACCCACTCTTTACAAGCAGCCCAGTGATCCTTCTAAAACATAAATGTGACCAATTAAAGCACTTCAATGACTCATCATTGTCTTTAGGAAAACAACAACTCAAGGTGGCCTCTAGAGTCCTACAAGATCTGGATTCCCTGTCTCTAGCCCTCACCAACTATTTATGATGTGCTAGTTCACCTATGAAGGAGCCCTGGTGGCACAACAGTTAAGTGCTCATCTGCTAACCAAAAGACTGGTGGTTCGAACCCACCCAGCAGCTCCATGGGAGAAAGACCTAGCGATCTATTCCTGTAAAGATTACAGCCTATAGAACTCTATGGGACAGTTCTCTGTCACATGGGTTGTTATGAGTTGAAAATTGACTCGACAGCACCTAACAACAACAGTTCACCTCCCAAAGCTCCATGCATTGGTACAAACAGCTTACCTGCAGGTGGAACCTTCTTTACCTGGTTAACTCTTGGTCCTCTTTGAAGATGCAGTTCAGGTATCATAACCTTTGGAAAACCTTCCTTCCCATAATGCCTCCCCACCACCACCCTAACACTGCCATGTAACTGCCTGCTTTGCTGTCTGCCTTGCCAGCTATGAATGACATGAGGGCAGGGACAGTCTTTCATTTCTCTTTCTTTCCAAGGTGAGCAAGTAACAGATGCTCAATAAACACATGCCTGCTTCTCCAAACACTTGCACGTTCCAAAATCAAACTAAACCCATTGCCATCAAGTCAATTCTGACTCTTAGCACCCCTATAGGACAGAGTAGAACTGCCCCATAAGGTTCCCAAGACTGTAAATCTTTACGCAAGCAAACTTCCACGTCTTTCTCCCTCAGAGTGGCTGGTGGGTTCGAACCGCTGACCTTTTGGTTTGCACCCAGGCAATTAACCACCGAACCACCAGGGCTCCTTGATTCCATGGTGCCCTTGCTCAAAAACCTTCAGCACCTCACAGATAAAGGAGAACTCCCTGGTATTCAAGGGCACGCACAATCTGCCTGCACTGGCCTGCCTTTCAAGGATCATCTCTCACTTGTCTTGAGCATGAGCATGATGTGTCAGCTCAACTGCTCCACCCTCTATCTTTGGAACATTCTTGGCACCTGTTCCTTCTGTCTGTGGCATATGACACTGTACCCTCTCCAAGTGCCCACTCCTTCAAATTTCACCTCCACTAGACCACATACAGACTGATGTGTCTCTCCTTCCTCTGAGGTTCAAGGAGATTAATGTCCACAACAGCTGCCTGATAAAACTGTGTGGTGGACTTAGTACTTGTTCATTCGTTCCTCTTCCTTTTGTCTACTCAGCAAACGTTTACTGGGCACCTACCGTGTGTCAGGCCCTAACCCAGGCATTAAGGATGTGAAGATGAATAAGGTACGGACCATGTCCTCCAAAGGGGACGGTCTACAAGGGAATAGAAGTGGGTAAACTAAGAGTTAAAGTCATAATTTTGAAGTACAGGAGGAGCCCAGATGATGACATGGCAGAGGCTCCCCTGAGAGTAGGGGCAGAGAGGACATGAGCTATGACTTGTAGATGCAGCCAAAAGAGAAGAAAGGCATTTCCAGGAGGAGGGACCTGCAATGAGAGCTGAGTGTGGCTAGAAGACACAAGAAGCAGTGCTTGTATCGACGACAGGATTGTGGCAAGAGTGGAAGAAAAATACAATGGAATATTACTCAGTCATAAAGAGAAATGAAGTTCTGATACATGTTATGACATGGATGAACCTTGAAACCATTATGTTGAGTGAAATAAGTCAGATACAAAGGGATAAATATTGTATGATCCCACTTATATGAAATATCCAGAATAGGCAAATGCACAGAGACCAAAGTTTATTAGTAGTTACCAGGGGTGCGTGGGAAGGGGAACAGGGGGAGTTATTGCTTAAGGGGTACTGGGCTCTGTTTATGGTGATGAAAAAATTTGGAAATGGATAGTGGTGACGACTGCATAACAGGTGAATGTAATTAATGTCACTGAATTGTACATATAAAATGGCAAATGTCCTGTTAAATGTTACCACAGTAAAATGAAGAGTGGAGGGAGACAAAATGGGCTTTAACTCCTACTTAAAAATTTCAAAGTTACCTTATCTCAATGTCAATACCAGATCCTCCTGCTCCCAGCAGCCCTGTTAAGATCATTGCTCCTCCTCTGAGTCCCTGTCCCACTTTATGGGTAATTGTTAGACAACTTTAACCCCTCTGTGCTGCTGCTCTCAGCAGGTGGGGTAGACTGTCCTCAATCCTGTCTCCCTGGTGCCTGGCTCTCAGCTGTACTCAGGGAACACCCAGAGGAGGAATGACTAAGTGTTGGGTTTATGTCCCCAATGAGGCAGCAGGCTCCTGAAAGGGCACAGAGCACAGCACCTCATATTTAGTGAGTGCTCAACAAAAACGGGTTGATTTGAGGAACCTGGCCTATCAATGGACAGAATGCTAAAGAGGTCTTCACAAACAGGCTTGGGCTCAGCACTATCTGTGGTTTCATGTCACTGTTTTTGGTGTCCTGTTCTGTGAAATGGGATCCTTATACTCTGTCCCATCTTTTTAGTTCAGAAAAATTAGCAACTTTTCCTTAGCCTGCTGGGTAAATCCAGGGAACTCGAGACAAGCAGTGAGAAGGGGCAATGAGAGATGGCAAGTATTCAGCACTCCTCACAAATAGCAACTTTATTGCGTTCTTACTTTAATGCTGTAGCCTGTTGGTATGAGCTCCACTGTGGATGCAAGGAAGCTGTGGCCCAAACTCACTCTGCTGGAACACAGCAGACTTTCAGAGCACTTTCTTAGACACTCCCCACCGTTCAAGTGCTCATGGGGTGCTTGCTCCTTACCAGGAACACCCTCTCTCTGGGGTCTCCACTCACCTCCAAACTGTCAACAGTGGCCTGTTAGCAGTCATTCTCCCTGGCTTCTCAGCAGCTTCATATACTGGTAACTATCTTCTCCTCCATAGAAAGCTCACTTTCTCCAGACAGAGTAAAACTCAAAGCCTTTTCAGTTGTCTGTGAGGCCTGTATCAATGGCCCCAACCTTGACAGCCCATGAAAATACTTGTACCACATACTAAAGCCTGGGCCCCACTCCATACCACCCGAACCAGAACTTGTCACATTACTGGCAAGACCTTTCCTAACCACCTCCTTACCCCCCATACTCCCCATTCCCCTGCTGTTGCTGTCAGGTGCTGTCAATTTTTAACTCATGATGACCCCATGTGACAGAGCAGAACTGCCCCATGAGGTTTTCTACACTGTAATCTTCATGGGAGCAGATCGTCAGGTCTTTGTCCTGTGGGGCCACTGGGTGGGTTCGAATCGCCAACCTTTTGGATAGCAGCTGAGGGTTTTTAACTGTTGCGCCACCAGGGCTCCTTCCCCATTCCCCTACCCTGCTTTATTCTTCTCCAAAGAATTTACCACCATTAGATATACTATATATTTATTTGTTTACTGTCTACCTTACCCCCAGCTAGAACGTAGGCCGTGGTAGGAGTGCACCAAGTTCTGGTTGAATGAATGAACCACATCCTTGTTCCCCAAGGTTCCTCTGCACATCCCTTGAACAGCTGTTGCTGCCCAGCATCCATCCTCAGCTCTGTCTTCCTGCCTTACTTCCTCTCCTCAGGAGAGTTTTACTAGGGTTTTGGCTATCTCCAAATGCCACCAGACAGCTCCACTGGAATGTTCCAGGCACCTCAGATGTAACAGCTTCAAATCTAAATGTATCCCCTTCCTGCCCCTTTACAGACCTGCTCCTTCTCCCGCACTATTTTAAGTAATGTTATCCACTGGCCAGACTAGAAATCTTGGTGTTATCCTCAAGTCTTTTCTCTTTATCCCTCACATTATGCTGGTTCCCAAGTCCTACTGATTATACCTCCTGAGGATCTCTTGAATCCAGTCTCTCAACTGGTCTCTTTGCCTTTAGTCTCTTTTCTCCAAATCATTACTATGACTCTCTTTCTAAGACGTGACCCCTTCCCACTGACCTGTTTAACGGCTCTCTTAGGAAAAATCTTGTGAAGTCTCTATTCATCACTGGTCTCAAGTAAAATGACAAAACTTAGACAAGGGAAGAATCTCCCAAACTGCTATCCTGGGCCATTTTGTCATTTGACTCGATTAGTGTTCACTAAGGAGTCTTACCCACCTGACCCAGCTCATTGGCTGGCTGTCCAATCTCCTTCCTCCATGGGAGCACAACCAACTTTACGTCCAAAGGACTTGGCTAGCCACCTTGCCTGAATTTTCTATGACTATGCCACTGATGCTGCCCTCCAATCCCGCCACTGTTATTTCCTGGCTGCTCAACTTTAGGCTGTCATTTAACATTTCTCAGCCTCAGTTTCTTCCTCTGTAATAAAGGAAAGTTGATAGCCATGCCTGCTTCATAGGGATATTCTGAAGAATTAAGAAAAATTTGGTCTGACAGAGACTGGAGGAACCCCTGAAACTATGGCCCCCCGACGCTCTGTTAACCCAGAACTAAAACCATTCCTGAAGCCCACTCTTCAGACAGAGATTAGACAGGACTAGAAAACAAAAAAATAATACTCATGAGGAGTATGCTTCTCAGTTCAATCAGATACACAAGACCAAATGGGTGGCTCCTGTCTGGAGGCAGGATGAGAAGGCAGGAAGGGACAGGAACTGGTTGAATGGACACAAGAAAGAAACCTGGGGTGGAAAGGGGGAGTGTGCTGTCACATTGTAGGGATTGCAACTAATGTCACATAACAATATGTGTATAAATTTTTGTATGAGAACTTAATTGTAAACTTTTACCTAAAGCACAATTAAAAAAAAAAAAGAAAACCTACGGAGCCCAGTTCTACTCTGACACATCAGAGTCAACTGGACAGCAACTAGTTATATATATA